AATTAAACCATGAAATATGAGTAGGATTGGATTCTACTCTCTGGTATATGATAATATGAAATATACTATGATAACATTGAATACCGCTTATTAAAATATTAACTGATGGATTCAATCAAAGAGCTGAATTTTTTTTCCGAAAATCATGGTTTTACGGCACCCATTGCACATGGCCCAAGATGGTATTTTTTTTAGTTGTCCATTTATACGGATATAAATTTATTTGGACATAATATTATTATAATTTATATTATATAATTGTATTTTAATTTATATTATAATCTTCTGTTAAAAGTATTGACAGCTCTGTTGCGTCCCAATTGACGCCGATTCATATATTATCAACGTAGAAATGAACACTTAATGTACCTAACATGCAGTGTATAATTCATATATTATAATGCACCTATACCTATTTAGTTATAATGTTGTTTATTTTACTTAATACAAAAATACAATTATGGTTAAATGATGAGGTGAGTGGTGTTACGATCTTCCTCCAAGTGTCTTGTTTAGTCCTAGCTGTATAACCATCTAGCTCACATTAAGAACCGTCTGTCTTACATTTTAGAATCGTCTGACGATGAATCTTGTATTTTCAAACTTATTTGCAACAATTTAAAATTGAATACTGATATTTTTCAATTATTGAAATTCTATATACCTAGTTAATTAATATTTATTTTCTTATATTAAAATTCTATTTGTATATTGTATCTATTGTTCATCATCCGAATTATTATTAACATTAAATATTAAATAGGTAAGTAGTGATGATAATGTTCATAATTCTAGTCTTGAATTTAACTTAATAGATTTGACTTCATTGATGGTAAATTACGAAGAAACTCTAATTAATACTATTTCTTTACCTACTCATATAACATATGTTTAGATGTTCTGCTCATACATTAAATCTAATAGTTACAGTTGATACCTACTGCCAAAATATATGATAAAGCMTATAATTCAATTTCAAAAATGTCATTTAAAAAGTTGTCATCATTTTGGAATCTTCTTAGTCGTAGTAGGTACTGTTGWATCAGATAAAGTATTTGACTTATGTAGTTRTTGTWAAGTCTAGTTCCTAATTAAACAAGATGCAATTCCATGTATGATGCTATTCACAAAGTAGTTAAAAATAAACAAAATTTAATCCTGGTTTTTAATGAATTAAAAATGAAAAAGATTTTAAAAAATATGAATGGAATTTCTTAGTAGAATACTGTAAGGTAAATGGTCCAGTTGCAGTTTCATTGGATAAATTGCAGGGTGAAAGGTCTTGTTATTTAAGTTTTGTTGCCCCTACTATATTAGCATTACGACTTATTAATACAGATGAATAGCTCGGCCTACTGTAAGCATTAATGTTTAAATATTATTAGCAGTTTAGAAAAACAATTTGACTATATATTAGATTTAAAGAAAGTTAAAAKCAAATCATTTATTCTATCAGCTATAAGCCATCCAAAGTTAACATTATTCAGGGTACCTGATAGATATATTGTAAGCATATATTTTTTGATGAGTGTACTTTAATAAATACTGATACARATGCTGCTTTGAGTATAAATGAAAATTTAGATAGTGATAGCAGTGACCAAGAATTTTTTCAAGTCTTATCAGAAAATATAAATTGCTTAGATTTGAAAAAAAACTTTCAAAATTTCAAAGTAATCACAATTGATGTCCAAGTTTTGGAAAATTTAAATTCAAAAATTAAGATTTTACTGTTCTTAATTCTTTTTCAATTATCAAAACAAAATTGTTTGTAATACAATACAACACTTCCCTCTTCTGCATCAGTAGAGCCTTTATCTTTATTTAGTATAGTGGATCACAAATCATGACCCCGAGGAGAAATCGTTTGAATAATAAGAAGTTTAAGATGCTCTTGTGTTGTAGATTTCAGTCTTAATTCTAAATGTTCTATTGTCATGCAGTTGTAACTTATTTATTGTCAAGGTTAACATAATGAAAAGGAAGAAATTAAAAAAAAAGATTGTAAACATTATTATTTGTTTTGTTTCAAAATAATTTTTTTTCTGATTAATTTTATACTGTTATTGTAATTTTATAATTTTATAATCACCTAGTTGTAAGTGTACCTCGTTCATTGTTAAGGATTACTTTAGATATATAAGACATTAATCACAGACCACTGTACTAACCCTGGTTGAAATATTCAAGATTATTGCATATATACCCTCTCTCAATCAAATATTTGATGATAAAAATAAAAATGGCAGCGTAAAGGGAGCCAATAATAATCAAGAATATAATTATTTATGCGCGGGAACTTTTATGCCAGCTGCTGATAGCCCAAGGCTTATAGATTATACAGATTGCCACATTTTGAAAACATCGAAAAAATAGGAGTGGGAGAAAATGACGCCGTGACGTAATCGTCGTACAAACTGTATAAAACGATAACAACTAACAATATGACGTTTTTATGCCTGTCTTGCCCTCTCTCGTAAGTAGTCTCGTTTCACCTAACCTTTTGATTTTGTTTTATTTATTTAATTAAATAGTGTTTTAATTTGTATAATTACTTATTATGTTCGTCTACGAAAAAAAAAAATAAACTTAAAGGTGAATGAGATAGGTACTTAACCAACATTCAAATTTATTAAAAAAAAAAAACGAAAAGCAAAAGCAAAACTATAAAAATGCAAAAACTTAGATGACTGATAAGTGATGACATAGGGCTTCTTGCGACTGATTTTTTTTTTTATTACGGAGTCATTAACAAGTGCATTGATACAAGCATTTTTCAACTATTGTTATTTTTATTATTATTATTATTTATTAAGCAAAACAAATTGAAATGTACTTTAGTTAAAATGATTTTTTTTTATCATCTAAGTCTTGAAAAATATGTTAACTAATTAAAATTATGTTTATCATCCTCTCTCTTAAAATTATTTGTATTATTACTAGCGTTTTTAAATTATTACTATTATGTAATACAAATTATACTTAGGCTATTTAGGCTGCATTTTTTTTATAATTATAGCCTGTAAAAAATATCAATTAGCATTTTATTGGTCATGAAATGTACCATACCATGACAGATTTTTCTCATTTTGGTTAAAAAAAAAATTTGAATTCCCATTCTAAAGATAATGCGTTTATTATTATATACATATATTATAAATTAAATGTATTAGGGTACCACAAGCGATTATTAATTTCTTTATAATTCTTAAAAATATATAAAGATTTTTATAATTTATTTTGTTTATTAATTCATCTAATAAATGTGAAAACTTTTTTTTTTTTAATAAGACTCATCATCATATAAGAAATGATATGAAAAACTAGCTCTTTAAAAAATCAAAAAAGCAAGAACAATAAGGCTTTTTATGTAATTTATTCTTTATAATATATAATTATAAAATAATATAAAATATATAAAATAAGTTATTAAAAATTATGAAATATTTTTGACAATGATAATAATATGAAAATAAAAAAGGACGACTAGACTATTATTTTAAAAAATGCATATCATTTTATGGCAGGTTTCGAAAATCATCAGATATAAAAATAAAAAAATGCATAATATTATATCATACATATCTAATTGTTGGAATTATAAACAAAACACCCTATATCATGTAGTATATAACTTATATAATATAAGTAATATGTTCACGCTGTAGTTCAGCAGACGCTRACTATACATTTTTATAATACCCTATAGCAAATATGTCTTGTGTAGCTGGTATACACAGTTAGTCGTTAATTTATATTACGCCTGTTGCGCCACGGCAAATCTTACGATTTTTGCAGTTGTCTGCCGTGACTTGCAGTAATGAGCTTAGGTGACCAAAATATAACGCTAGATATACTGTTAACGGCGGATTAAACGCCACAAAATTGATATATTGTTATAGACTGAATACAGACAGTATAATATAGTAACAAAAAGGGGGCGCCCCTATCTCATAATATAAATAAATACAAATAATCACAAAATTACAACCACATAAAATATATGAACTCGACCTGTTCCGCTGGTGAAAATGAAAGGTCCTCCGGATCAACTCCAATCCTCAAACGTCAAATGGTGAGCAACGGCACACAGCTGGCACGCGAATTGTATTAATGGCGGCACGCAAATTGTAGTAGTGGCGGCACACGATTATTAGTGGCGGCATGCGAATTATGTACTTGGCGGTACTCGAATTGTAGTAGTGGCWKCACACGAAACGGCAAAACCATTCGTCGCACACACGTGGTGGATACACCGTATACTCAGACTTGGTCACTTGGAGTGCACGGCGACGCATAAAACAAACCGTCGGGCCAACGGTTAAAACGACAACGTCGGAGCGCGCACGCTGTCGAGTGACGATAAGACGCCATTAAAATCCWCGGCTGGCGGCACGGATACAGCGTGACCGGTTGGAGTGAGAGGCGCTGAAATGGCCAGACTGGCATCACACGGACCTGTGAACGGCAGGTGCATAGACCTATAAAAGAATGGACCGCGCATATCATATCCCAGTAGTGTATTTGGTTGAGTCAAAGATATGTGCGAGAGAGACAGACTTATGTTAGAATTTCCTAAGACATTCCAACCAAAATATTTTATCGTCCTWGAATATTTATATATTTTTTTAATGATAACGACAACCAACGAATGATAWCATTTTAAAATCATTCCCCGCGTTATAGCATTTTGTTTATTTGGTTAAAACTTATGTTTTRAATWATAAAGTTTAAATTTTAAAATTAAAATGGTTCTTATGTGCTCTGTGAGAAGCTGTAAAACCAAACATTCCAAAAATTCTGACATAAAGTTCCACAAGTAAGTACTACCTGTAATATAAAGTAAGGTTTACATTATAATTAAAAATGATACACATATTATATCTAAGTTCATAAATAAATTACCTTTTAATCCATATAGGTTTCCTACAAATGAAGAGTTTAAAAGCAAATGGTTATTAGCCATTAATAATGAAAGTTGGTTTGTGCCATCCCAGCATTCTGCTGTATGTAGCAAGCATTTTAATATAGGTGATTATCAAACTAATGCTTTGGGGAACAAGAAGCTGAAAATGAATGCTATCTGAAAATCAACAATCATTCGTAGATCTTTACTTGAAGGTGAGAACAAATTACTGAAATTAGGAACCTGCAATGTAAGTTAATTATATTTTACTAAGACACAATATATATATTTTAAATTATATTTCGAGGTACTTCATCATTCAAAAGACAACGACAGTGACRGAACTATATTTGATTCAAATGATAGCGATGGTAAAATTAATATTGAATCCAATATTATGTATTTTCAGTTATTGTAAATAATATGTAACAATTTTTTAGTTATAGTGAACACTGGAGTWGTCAATGRTTTTGTAGAAGATGGTATATTATTGTCAGAAATATCAAATAATTCTAAAGTGGATCTTGAAAACTCAGTTGTACAACAGCAACATGAAGAAAATAATATTAGTATGAATTCATCAACCTMAAMAAAAACACCTCCACAAAAGTATTATATTTTTTTTTCAATTGTTTTTATACAAATTTTTTATGTACTAAAAAATGAWAATTTTTAGGAGAAGAAAACTATTTCGTTACTTGGGAGATTATGAAGAAGAAGATTTGGAAACCCCTAGAAAGAGGAAAATGTTTTGGACTGTTTATAAAAAAACCTTGGAAAAAAAAGCCAATACCGAAAGACTGTTAAGACAAAAAAATCATAGATTGCAAGCTAAAATAAGGACATTAAATACATTAATTGATAGTTTACAAGCCGATAACAAAAYTACAGCCAATTGTTCCAATATTTTACTAGACATACTAGATTAAAATATAATACTGCCCAAAACAATACAGGTATACTGGTATACAGAAATAGAATTACTTCAATAGTTCAATTATAATAAAATTATGTAATGGCACGAAAATTAAATATTTCAAAGACTAATTAATATATTTTTGCTTATATCATCTTTGGTATTTCTAACATAGCCCTTTCACTCTCGCACATATCTTTGATTCACGGATCTCTCTCTATGCGCKGTCCATTCTTTTATAGGTCTGTGGGCAGGTGTAATCCGAACTGCGCCAAAACAGTGCCGGTGTTTGAACAACGCCTCATAACACTATTGTACATCGTATCATTATACTTATTACTATTATACTATTTATGTCCGATCTTATTATTATTTACCTTTAGCTTCTGTATATCTGTGTACATCAACAGGTTATGGGCCCAGTAGTAAGGTTTTTATAATAAGATCGTGAATAGTTGGTAGAATAATAATTGATTAACGAATTGCGTGTTTTTTGTGTACAGACAGTGTAGGTACATCAATGATAATTCGCGAAGTAAGTGCTGCGWAGTGTGTGTGCGTTTCTTAGTGTGTAGATAGTGWACATGTACGTRTTTTTTTAAATATGGAAAACGAACAATATAAGATCAACAAACTCGAAGATGCATCAAATGGAGACATGTGGAAATTTCAAATTAAGGTAATCATGAATGCAGCTAAAATATTTGATTTAGTATCGAGAAAATCGAAAAGACCTATTTAAAGAAAAATCGGTAATGAAACTGAAGACGAAGCGAGAAAATGGCATGGCGTTGATTTTTCAATATGGAAAAGGGCAGATAGTAAGGCTCAAAAATGTATCRTCACATCAGTAAATGAACAACCTCTGCAATACATTATGAACTGTGACACAGCAAATGGTATGTGGAACAAATTACTTAATGTGTACGAACAGAAATCGGACACAAGCATAACAATARTACTGTTTTCGCCGGAATAATTCTTACACGTTTATTAGTAGTTTACTACTCCGACTCGCGTTGATTTCAGGAAAGGTGACCTYTTTGAATACAATTTTATAATAATGAACAAGATGCCTTTGAGGCGCTTAGCGCATAATACATATAATGCGAAATATAAGGCAACAATATAACAATACAGCTTAACTATTTAAATAAAGATTTGGGCGCCCACCGGCAGACCCACCTAACCTAACCGGCTAGATTCCCGGAAGAATAATCACCGATAATTTTTGCCTGATCAGCATACGATCAACAACCACTTTCGTCAAAGATATGACTGCCACTACGAATCCGATCCAAGACGTCGGCACCGATTTTACCCGGCACTTGGGCCCAGACGTYGTYCCGTAGTACTCATTCCCGGTTTTAAATAACCAAGCGTCCAGAGAGCGACGATTCGGCCAGAGGACCATCATTKCTAACGAGTAGCTAGGTCTTTGCCTCCCGACTATTTACTTTTTACAGACATCAGAGGACTAGTGGTGGGCCCATAACGCCGTGCTCGTGGGTCACGCGGTAGTTGCGGCCTMTCGTTTAATATTTGGAATGGAGTGAGTACTCCATTCTCCACGCTCTGACTAGCGCCTACAGACTTTTCAGTCGTGCATCATACCACACGCCTCAAGCACACCTAGTGAAAACACGTAGGCCACTGGTTGAGTTGTCGTAGTGCTTATCCCGAAGAACAGTTCACCACAACTCTCTCACCATCACTTATTCTACTCAGCACCCCCGCATCCCAGATGCTTACTCGTACCTTATGTACGAATAACAGCCGCCAGTCCCCGATTTCACGAGAACTCGGGTCGTTACGTTCGGTTTTTCGTAGTACCGTCCTTTCGCTACCACTCCGCGTCCCAGACGCTACCATCCTATTGACCCACAACATGATCGCGAGACACCACAGCCACCCACATGAACAATCTGAACTCTTTCCAAAGTTTAGGCCAACTCACAAGCGTCCATAGCTTACACGGCCACTGTAGGCCAATTCTCTCCACTAGGTCTCTTAGTGCCYTTCTAGCGCCTGTCAATGCTTCGCAATGGAATACAACATGTTCTGCCACATCCAGAGTTCCACACGACTGACATTCGTTGGTCTCTGATTTAGAGAAGCGATGGAGATAGGCCATGAAACCCCCGTGTCYCGTAAGGAACTGGGAGGATTCGTGATCTACTACCAACCACTAACACTTCAACCTTTCTTTCACTGATGGGAAATAGCTATTCGTGAGTCTACCMTACTACTAGCCTCCCGCCGTGCTTGCCATTCTGCAAGTCCTTCCTCCTCTATAGTCCTTTCCTGCTCCCTCCCGAGCCTGCCTCTCCTACTCCTAGCCTTACGACCCCATTACCTTGCTTCCAGGTCCAGTGGCATCACCCCCGCCAGCACGGGCAGGGCCTCCGTACTGGTAGTACGATAAGCCCCCGTTACTGACAGAAGAGCGCTTTTCTGAGCCCCGAGAAGTAGGCGTTTCATCATCCGATCGTTAACGGTTTCACCGCACACTGCGGMACCGTAAACCATTCTCGCCACAAATACGCCTAAGTATAGTTTGCGCGTCATCTGGCCACTAAGACCCCAGGTAGAGGCTACAATCCACCTGATCCTATGAAACATTGGAGCCGCTTTCCTCACTACCTTCTTCACTTGATTCCTGAAACTCCACCTATCGTCCAATGTWACTCCGAGATACTCCATCTGTGTTACCTCCGTGAACCGCCGCCCGTCCATCCTAACTGTATAGGGCGGTGTCAGCCTTCCTTTCAGACACATGACTTTCATCTTTGTGCCAGAGAAGTTCAGCTTCATGCCGCTTGCCCAGGACCCTGCACTTTTCAGTTTTTCCTCTGTCTTTCGGATCRCCTCGGATTGAGTCCGACCGGCTATCATCAGCAACGCGTCATCCGCGTAACCAATAGATTCTTCTTCCGACCCATCAAGACCCAGTAAAGAGTCCATCAAGATCTTCCAAAGTTCCGGACCAAACTGCGAGTCCTGAGGACAACCCTTGGACAGCCCCTGCTCACTCCTTCCCGTCGGCACCGTGATGCTGGCGTATCGACCCCCTAAATAACTCTGGGTCAGCTCACACATCCTCCTCGTCGCGCCCAATCTGGTCATGTGATGCAATATTGCTGGCCACCAGGCGTTGTCGAATGCTCCCAAGATATCCAAAAACACCTCGATATGTATGTTCACTTCTCAACCCGGCTTTCAGCCCACTCTCTCATTCTTAATATTGCATCATTGGTACTCTTATTCATCGTAAATCCAAATTGATTATCGGTCATCCTCGGTTCAATCATCTCACGCAGATTAGATACTCCAGTGCTTTTGACAACACCGAGAGCAGGCTTATCGGCCTATAAGACTTGGGGTCTGACCTATCCTTGTCACGATTTTTCAATAGGGGTACCACCACAGCTTTCTTCCATGACCTCAGAAGCGAGCTTTTCTCCAACACTYGTTGAAAAGAGTGGTCACTATTTCCGCCATCGCCAGGAATGCTACACGGAGAATTCTGGCTGTTATACCTTCCTCCCCCGGAGCTTTGTCCCTACCCATTCGCATATATAAATTCCTCCCGTTGGTTGCCTCGTTCTCCTCACCCCATATACGATCTTCGACTTCATCCAAGTGCACTCCAGTCTCCTCGCGGATTCTTTTGTGCTCCTCGGTTTCGCCTTCAGTCGTATCTGGGGGAATCAGTGATTCAAGCAGCAAGTCAAGCTTGTCCTGAAGATCCACCGTGCGCTCTCCATTCCCCTTTCGGAGAGTGGCTAGCATCCCGCGTGAGTTCGTATTCACGCCCTCCTTGCACCAGCGATAGGCGGCAGTGTCGGTCTGGCCCACCCGGCTACCCGATCATCGCCGGGGGCCCTTGGATATTTTTCAATATTAGTGGCCCATAGCCAATTGTAAACGTAATAAAAAATAGGCATGTGTTTAAAATTCTAATTGGTCACAACTCTAATAAATATGTAAACATTGAACAAAATTGTAATAACTATTTACCAAAAATATTTCAAATTCTTTTTAAACTTACAACTAAAACGGACTTGTTCAATACACTGTACATAGCGTTAAAATATGTTCTTATACTTCCATGCACACAA